AGGGGGGGGTGGGGGGGGGGGGGGGGGGGGGGGGGGGTCATCGCGTCCCACACAGGCTGCCGCTGGAATGCTAACGAGACGACGGGCGAATAGAATCGGCCGTGATTCCTGCACCCTCCAGTTGTGTCACCCTCTGGTGTGGAAGTCATCACGTTTCCCCTCGTAAATTCCTCCATCGGCTGTCGGTCCCGCACTCGCGATCGATGGCAGGAAGGAAGCGGGCGGCTCTTCATTTGCGGCGTCCCTCTATCACCCGAGGATGGCACGGTGCATCGGTGCATCTTGCGACAATAGGGCTTCGGCATTATCTAGAGTAAGCAGGGTCTTTGCAGAGAACTCATCTCGGGTTCCGAATCGATACCGCGTGCGTTTGCATCAGAGCCGTCGCCGATGCGTTGTTAATCGAAACCATTCCAGCGGAAATCCATGGACATCACACATGGATTATTCGCTTTTCTTTCCATGTTGAGACAGGCCCACGCATTATTTTCTTTGCCTGGAGCGATCGGATTATTTCATTTGGAAGCTTATGCCATCGTATTGATTATTGTAATTGGCGGCAGGAAGCCGGATTTTCCCCCTCTTTTTTTGCCTTCCGTATACGGCTCGAGCACAAAGTGCACGAACTATTAATTTTTTGGTATCCTTGCTTTCAGAAGTTAAGTGCTTTCGAATGTCCGCCCCGCACGAATCATTCCTGCGGTAGATATGAATCCACGCCAGGAAATTTCGAGAAGAGATGACCGTGAAGATTTATATAATTTATTCTTCCGTTTCGGCGCATGGGGAAAGGACGGAGATCGCAGTCCCGGTACATCGACGGGCCGCCATTTGGGAGCCTCGGAACGTCGGCACGTCTTTGTCGTCGTTCTTGCGGGCGACCCGAGTCGAGAGCAGCTGTGGCATGCAAATAAATCGATTGAAAGCGAAAGGGGAACGTGCGATAAGATAAACGTTAAATATAGAGAGGAATATGCTCAGCCAGGAAGGCACGCATGCCCGGGAATCCCCGGAGTCGGTCGCAGAATGCGGCCGCAAAGTGTTCGTGCGTCTGCGCGAATTCACGCCGCCCATCCCCCACGACTACGCAGTTCGTAACGATTCTCAGAAATAGGTGATGGGTTCCCGATTCGAATGGGTGGGACGAAAGAAAAAGGAGAAAATGGGAACGTAGTCATCGAACGAGTGAGAGATAGAGATGGGAATCTCTGACATTATCCTCATCGAATTCGAGGAAATTCAATTGAATAGATTCCCTCTCGGAACCTGCCAAGACTGCCATTTCTTTCCCCGTTTCGATCGCAGTCGATGCTTTCCAGATTTCCTGCGGTCGACGTCGATCATCGTCGACCGCATCGTGGGGGTGTTGAATCTACCCATTCAGGTTATTATCGCAGCAAGCCATCGACTCCCCAGTCCTATTCATGTCGGGCATTATTCCCCAGTCACGTGCGATCTTTCCGCGACCGTGTAATGGGAATGCCTAGGGAAGCCCATTCACGAAGGTATCATCATACAAAATGTACTCGCAGGAACAAGACCCTCTCCCCCCCCCCCCCGCTCTTTGACCGACCCCAACGGATTCCGCTGCATTCATGTGAATGCGGAATTATTCATCTGCGGAGAGATGAATGATGGCGGTTTTCCGTGTAGACCCCCCTTTTCGCATAAGTAATGATCTTACACTGAACGAGCGATTAACAGTGACAAGTCTTGCATTTTTCAACAGGTGCGAATAATAAGAAAGATAATAGACGATACGGTGCCATGTTTCCATCGACCAAGCCGATGATCATGGCGTGCTTCGGTGTCGTGTCTGCTCCCTAACCGATCCCTGCCTTTTTTTTCAATCGTGCACACTCGACCCCCTGCAACCACCTTCTCATCTCGAGTCATCTTCGATAAGAAGTCACCGATTTTTTTTTGCTTTCACTCCGGGAGCGATGCGAATGAACAGTGTGTTGATACCTGTGGCCGGATGGTTTCTCGCCCTCGGATACTCGGCCCTCGTCTCCGACCGGCAATCTGAAAACGGTGAGCGAATCGACCATTTCCATTCGGTATCGCGTGGAAGAAATGCGAACGGTCGTATCGGTTTCTCTTCTTTTTTAAGGATGTTTAACGTGAGACCGAACGATCGTCGATTCGAAACCCATGCGATTTACGGGCACATCGTCGAGTTTATACGATACCGAAGCCTTAAAATGCGGGAAACGAGGGAAACCGACTCGCACCTGCGACGTCGACGAACCCGACGAACCCTCCCGATTGTTCAGAAAATATCCGACCGATTCCGTGGAATGGATGAAAATATCCACTGATTCCGTCGAATGTGAAAGCCCGGCAGCTACGTATTCGACGCAATCTTCATCTAATAGCAGAACGATGATGACCTCCCCAACCCAACATTAACGTTTCCCAAGGGACAAAGGTCACATTACCTATGTATGCTTCCACGAGGACGCCGACTCCGGGAGCGACGATTTGTTGCCATGCCGACCTCTATAGGATTTCCTCGTAAATACGAGTCGATCCCACCCGCAAAGAAAATGCCATCCCTCGTCCGTGACAAGCGACATCCCACCGGAGGAAGAGGCTTTCTAAAAGAAGATAACAACGTTCCAAGCGTCTCTCTCCGTGGGTTTCTAATCAGGCCCGAGTGGATAGCCCAAGCCAAGAAGAACGTGCTTCGGAATCCGCACAATTTCGTTATTCAATCAGCTGCCGACGTCGAAGAGATTGCAGCACGAAGATCGACGCGGGAAGTTCTCGTTTCGAAGCGTCGATTCGTGCTCGAAGCCATCCAAAGGCTCTTGCGACTCCGAGAATCTTTAAAAAAGGATCCGGTGAGCTTTCGGTATCCGTTTTAGTTTCCCCAACGGCATGGGCGATGACGTCTCATCTCCTTTAAACCTGGCGCGATGCCATTCGACGTTTCGCCGCATCTTTTCTCCATGGTCTTCTCGGCCTCGCTCTCGGGCTCGACGACGGAAATACTCTTAGGAGACATTTCATCCAAACCGGTTCGCCGTTTCCCTCATAAATTACTCTGAAATATGCCTTAGAATGGAACGGTTTATCTGTTTTTAAATCTGAGATCTCATTCCTCCCGTCTCCGTGATCGATGCATCGCGTCGAATGGCCCAGAATGCGCTGGGAAGAGGTTCTCCCTCTCTTAGCTCGCGTCAGTTGCAGAACTCCAGAAGACCAGGAAGAACGGCGAAGAAAGTCCGTGCACTTCTTAAAACTTCGAAACGCTTTCTTTAAAAATCTTTTCATCTCGGCTCGGGAGACGAGGGTCGGGAGCCACGAACTCCCCCCACTTCGTCGCTCTCGCTGCCGTCACTGCTTTCCCAGACCGTTGGGCCGAAGAACTCGTGATCTACAGGGTGGCCCATCGTTCGCCGAGTCCTGCGGGACATCTGTCGCAGCATCCATCACGCTTTCTCTGACACTCTCTTTAGATCACGAACGCTCGGGCGACGTCGCTCTGCAAGTCCCTCTTTCGCATAGCCCCATTGGCTGTTATCACACGTCGAGAGGTTTGGGCTTCTTGCAGACAACAACTGCCAACTCCCAACCCAGCGGTTAGAGAAAAATTAACCTTTGAGGAGTGAGTTTTGGAGGAGGCTTTTCCATAATAGCGTAGTTTGATGTTTCAGAGACAGAATCCAGGATAAAACCTTTTTGTTTATTTTTAAAACATGGTCCGAAGTATGCTTAGAAAGGTTCAGTTGCAAAATTTGCTTAGATTTATTGGAATTTGATCGAATTAAAATATTAGGTTAAATTTAAATTTTAAGCGTTTCACAAGATGAATTTTATAGTGACTGTACTAATCTAAGCCAATTTTAACCCTAATTCTGTAATAATTGCTGAAGTAGACACGCAAAACCTTACCATCCACCATTTTCAACTACTATTTCCCCACAATTCTGCCCAATGAAAACACATTGCCCATGTCTTGTTTTCAAATGCAAGTAAAAATGATGGCTGAAGGATCGTTTTCAGCCATACCCGCCAGGTATTTAGATCATCTTGAAATCCTTATTAAATTTTATCTCATCTAGATCCCATATTGTTCATCCCATAACCTCCTTCCCTACGAACAATGTAAACCCAACGTTGTGAAATTACTTTTAATCCCTCCCTTGGCTTGTTGTAATTGTCGTACGTTTGCTTTCTTCTCGACGCCATGGCTGCTAACAGCTCACCGATCACCTATACCCTGTGTAAATAATAAAGGCATTTCGTCACCTAAATGGAGGCCTAGCGTTACTCATTGAAATTCCTTGACTCGCAGATAGATAGCAGAAGCTGCCGTGGTCGTCTTAAACCGAACCGTAAATATACGGGCATGCTCTCCAAAAGGTTGAGGAAGGAACGAAAAGCTGTTTGCACGGTGCAACACATTCATCCGGTCTGGGACTTCTGGGCCATCCTGCACAGATATAGTGAGCCTTCCTTTTAAAGAAATGGTTTACCTAACTGATTAAATATATCGTGTCTTTCTCATGCCAAAGTTCATCAAGTCCTCCATCAAATTTCCATGTTTCATCTTACCCATCTACGTTCATCATATCCGAGATACTCGCTCCACGGCCCCGAGAAGAATTCCAGGAAGTCTCGCTAATGGACCGGATCTTCCCGGATCGTTTCTTTTCTTGGCATTTTTCGAAAGGAGGCGAAACGAGCCACTTTTTATCCCCGGCCGATTCTTCGTCGATTGAGATTTTTTTTGCCATCGCGCAACCCGTTCGATCGGGTTCTCGTTCGACGTCGATGGAAACCGCGGTCCCCGCCGTGCGATCTCGAAAATGCCGCCGCGAGAGAGAAAAAGTGGAAAGAAGCCCGGCGTTAATACCGTGGGATAACTTTCCTAATCTTGGGTGGGATCCCACACGCAATATCCCTCTTGTTGCCCAACAGGAGTGCATAAGGGATGAAGGAAACAGAGAAGGTGGCCGGGGAAAGTCCATTCTCCTTCATTAACTATGAATGGAGATGCATGGGGGAGATAGGGTTTAATAGACCTGCTCCTTTCCGATCCTGGCCTAATCGATCCTTCACCCATAATGACCCGATATATTCTCTTTGGTTTCTCCTGCACGCGATGTATGCCTAATCTCGGGAATCTGTTGATAGGGAGGCCCACCCCCCTCCCCCCCTCCCCCCTCCCCCGAGTCCCTCATTTTCTTTCCGATAATCCCTTCATCCGGGCCTTTATGCCCTTTTCTCGAAGCGGCAGACCCTCTCGGAATCGGGTATCGACCGCAATCGTCTCGGTCTATTGCGGGGGAATCCCTCCAGGGGGTGGTGGAATGGGGGTCGGCAACAAAAGCGACATACAGTATAATTGCATAATAAAAGCGGAAACTCGACGAGTCAGAGATGCGTTATTATTCGAGCTTAGAAACTGCGTGCAACGTGGAAAGCTTCGCGTACAACTCTGTGTAAACGTGAGAAATACGAGGAAGTCGAAGACAATTAAAAAAGGTGAATCCTCGATTTTGAAATTCTATAGTATAATGCCCGATAAAAGTGTAGAGAGTAAGGCCTCAAGCCATGAATTCGCAAAAAGTAACATCGAACAGTAAGGAAATTGCAAGATGGGCTACAGTTTCCGTTGGATTTTCCGGTGTGAAAACGTCGAGCCGCACGGAATCATTTAATTTGGACGGCTGCGAGAAACGCGGAGCTTTCGCGTCTTCTCGGATCGACCTTGATTTTTCCGTCGAGAGCCCCTTCCTTGCATCCATTGAGAGGACAAATCGCGAAAGGAGAAAAGCGGCTGTCAAGAAGAAACACGCGTGAACGGAATGCACATCCTCGGGAAAGAGAGAGAGAACGGAAAGAGGAAAGAGGAAAGGGAAGAGGACAAGGAATTTCCGAGGGGAAGAAAGGCGAAACGGGGGAAGAGGGCGATATGATGGATTGGGCGGAGGCAGGAATGGAGAGAGGGAGATAGAAAACAATGCTAGGCTGATGGCCGAAAGGGATCATCCTCCTCTTTCCCCTTTATATAATATTGTCTACTAGTTTTTCTTTCCTTTTTCTCCCCCTCTTTCTCTTTACCATTTCTTGTTTCCGTTTCCCTCGTCCCGTCGTCATTGAGCAATCGATCTCTCTTGACAGCACGGGCGTCCCTCCAAAAAAAAAAACCAAAAAACTCCTGGATGACCACCAATCTCGCCCTTTTCAATTTGGACTCGAAGAAACAGGGAAAAAGATATATCGACCGGACACTGCGGAAGCTCATAATGGGGTGAAGCGTTAAATTGGATTCAGCTGCACTTGTTGGAGGTCCCCCCCCCCCCNCGATTAGGCCAGGATCGGAAAGGAGCAGGTCTATTAAACCCTATCTCCCCCGTGGCTAATTATTGGATTTCGGCACCCTATTGAATATTCATCGAGGCTCCGTCACCTCATTAACATGAAACGTCACTTTCTCCCCCCGAGACTTCTTTCTCTTCCTTCCTATAAGACTTTTGCCCTCGTAGGAAGGGAAGGATTTTCGCTCGCGAGAGGATCCATGCATAATTTACAGAGCCTTTTTCTTTTTCCTAGAGTGTCGGGATTCCAATAGGAGTTTCAAAGGTCAAAAGAGCGGAGAAAGCGCAGAGGAACTGGAAGGAGAGATTTTATGCATCGATCGACCTTGCACACACAAGGAGGTTGTTAGCATATTTTTTCAGGAAGGAAGGGAATATGCAATTCGCCGACAACACATAAAAAGGAGCCACGTCTTCGTCCCGCATTCCCATCACGTCTCGTCTTTCTCTTCATTGCCCTTCGCAGACTCTTCCTAAATTATAGACCTTCGACTTGGTCAAAAAAAAAAAAAATTAGATGCTCTGCCATTTCCATGATGCATCTCCCTCTGTGGGTCCATGAGCTGCTTTGCAAGGAGGTTCCCTGCCCATTCTTTTCTGCCCTTTAACACGTTCACTGCTTTACGAGTCACCGGTGACTCGTAAAGCTTATCTGCCGTACCGCTAGGCATTTTGGTCCCGCAGTGAACGTGTTCTTATTTATCATGATTAATTCTGCATATAGAGTGATCAAATTCGGTAGCTCGAAGGAAAGCGTGGGATTCATTACTCATTATCGTTGCTTGCGTGAGATGCTCGAATTGACGACCACCGACGTTAATATCGTCCCGATGTCGCGTTGGTAAACAGTTACTTACTTTTAGCTCACCCTGAAAAGCGAAAAATCTTGGCCTGCTAAAATAAATTCCCACAGTAGCCTATTCAACACAAAAACGTCGGGTCAACATTGAGAGAGAATTAATTATTCAACGCCGCAATGTTGCCACAACGGTGTGTAAAAGGCGGATTCAATGTTGACACAATGTTGAAATGAAACGCAGCTATGCGTTGAAAATACGTTCATACGCTGTGACAGCTTGGAATCGCCAACGTCTGGGCATCACAAACTCCCATTCCCGAACTTCAACTAGCGCTATTATTGATTTGAGCTTCGATGTACTCCAGTGAGTACTGTCGTCCCACTTGAGGTCGTGACTTCCGCAGAGTCAGAGTCGAGTACTTGAATGATAAAACTGATGCCGTCCAGCAGAGGAGTACCGCGTCGGGCATCATCTCAAAATTCGTCTTCTTCACAGGAAAAAATAGCCCGACGCATCCTCGCATTCTGATTAACACGCTCTGGCATTTTGAAAGGAGATACGAGGATCATATGTCACTCAATGCCCCTTATAGCGACGTAAAAAAATCGAGGATGTCTGATCGGACCTCCTTCCCCCCCCCCCCCGGCCAAGACTACCCGGAGTCTCCTCTTGCCGGGTTACCTCCTTCAACTATCTAGAAATTCCAAAGTGTAAGTGGGAAAAGTTGTATGTGGGAAAAGATCGGGTGCTCGATGAAAAATACATGGGACTGTATTGTTCCAGGGCACCAGGGGGATCAGCAGTCAAGCGCCATCTAGCGTCGATTGGTCGACCTACTCTCTGTAGAGATACTGTGGATAACTCCATGCTAAAGCACCGTTGAGACTATGATAAAGCCAAACGATTTTGCACTTAATAGCTTCCAAACGACTACGCTGATCCATGAGCCTCTATATGATGCATATTCGGTTTAATTACGAATAGCTAATGAAGAATTTCTTTAATGTAGATTCTTCGCTGAATCCTTGACTCGAACCACGTCTCGACATTTGAACCTTTTGTGCAATGTTGACACCACGTCGTTGCGCCGAACGGGAACCCATAGCGAAGCGAAACCTAAGATCGACCCGAAGCACGTCGCCCATTACGCCAGATCGACAGATCTCGGCAGAACGGCGGACGACTGGGACTCGGAGGCGCGATCGCCGACGATCCGCTCGTGCTCCGCGAGTTTCGGCCGAGCGGAGCCAGACTTCATCAAGCAAAGTGTCAAATATGAGCAGACGGGAACGGAACGGAAGTGGAAGGGAATTCATTCTATTTGCCATGGCCGACCGAGCAGGAAATTGTCATCACGGTCATCTGAGCTCGAGCGACTTGCTCCCATATTACGAGATACACTTAGTTCTTACGGTCTAAGACAAATACTTCGATGTTTCTCTCTCTTTCTCTCTCTCTCTCACTATCTCTCTTTCTCTCTTTCTCTCCCCCTCGACACGATCGAAGAAAAAAGGACGAAGGGAGAGAATTGAACTCCATGGAAAAAATCTCTTTTTTGCCGCGACAAGACTGATTGCAAGCGCTTTCGATCCATGATATTTCCGGTGCCTTCCAGGAACACTCCCCAAATTTCGATGGAATCATGCAAGAATTAATTTAGATACGACCCCAGGCGACAAAGGAAAGAAAGAGGAAATTCATTTCCCCGATGAAATGGGAAAAAATTTCCATGACAAGTCCCGTCATACCCTTTCAATTATCAAAACGAAAAAAAAGAAGAAAAGCTAGACCTTCCCTCGTCCTTGCATTTGACGACGTTGTTTGATTCGTCTCCCATTCCGCCGAAGGGCCGAGAGTTGATGGGATCCATTAATCCAGTGGTCCGGAAAAAAGCCCAGATGGCGCCCATTACGTTTTGTTTTAGTGCAAAGTGTTTCACATCGAGCTTGAAATCTTTGTCGCGGGCATCATCCTGCAGTGGACAAAAATTGATATTGCAATGGATTTTATGGACGAATCCGCCCCTTAGCTCGTGACTTATAGAGCCCCGAATTACCCTGCATGAGCGATGCAGGGTAATTCGGGGCTCTATAAGTCACGAGCTAAGGGGCGGGGGGGGGAAAAAAAACTAGATTTGATGGAGGGGAAAGAGAGAAGAGTGTAAAGTTGCCTTGCATACTTCCATGGAAGGTGGGGAGAAGTTGGATTTTCTTCTTCTCGTCTGATTCCCTCACCCCGAAGGGAATTCCCATATGAATCAGGGCGAGAACTTTCTCTTTCGCTGCCCCGAGCACATAAACACGCATTGGCCTCCTCGGAGAAAAACCAACACGCTAATGATTCGCCGAGGCTCCTCGACTTTCCCAAACGAAAGGCGCGCTTCGCATTTCCAACTGGGAGATTTCGGTTATTTTTGTCACAATTCAAATTGCTCGTGCTGCATATTCTCGGAATTAAATTTGCAAAGAGTTCTTGCGACAAGGAAATGTACTTAGGATCTTCCTTCAATCTTCAACTTGCAGAGCACCCATGCTAAAGTTTCAATTATTTAAATTTCTGAATTAATGCAGCCATCAAGCCCCCTTTCTCCAGGAACACCGTCGTTTTCGGGGAAAAGAATGGTGTTTTTAGCGTTCTCGTGCTGGTACAGATCTTTTCCGAGAATCATCAATCTTTCTGTTTCTCTCTTAAAGGACATTACTCGTCCCTTCCTCATGCCCATGGAAATTGAAGAGCCTCTTGCCCCTTCTCCACTCATTACGTCCGCTCGGTTTGTCCTCCGACGAGGCAGACGTGACCTTTTTTTTTTACTGAATGTCCGGGGTCGGCCGTCGTGCATGCACTGGGATTCCGTCGAATCGGGAGTTCGCTGGGAAAGCTCTCAGATTGATCTGATTTTCTTTCCATATTGTCTTCCGCCTTTACTGGAACATGATAAACCCTGAAGTAATGGAAAATAAACACGAATGTGGAAAGGATTGAAGAATGGTCGTAGGAAATAAAAAGGCAAATACACACGCAGATAGATTATTGCATCGGAACAAAGCAGAACGTGCAACCTAAAAATGATTTGAACGTGACACGCGTTTCCCAAACTCCCGATCGGAATTTGGAACCGGAGGAAGTGTCGGATGACGATGGGCTGGGACGTCAGGGGGAAGGGGTCCCACACCTGTAGGCTGTGCACGTTGGGATCCTAGGCGGACGAGAACTCGGTAGTGCTGGAAGCAGGGCTGGAGGATCGCTTCTCAGACGGGAGGCTCAGAAATGGAAAGGCTTTCTGGGTGAAGGCCTCGTTTCTGGGAAGAGGGACGAAGGCTGCCGAAGCCGATTCGGGCACGGTGCATCGCGGGGCGTTTGGAAGCGAGGGCAAGACGCAGATGGATTAACTCGAACGGAAAGACGACAGGTGAATAGAGGGAAGGGGCCGAGGCCGGTTTCTCATCGGGTCGATACGATGAGCTTCACCGAGGGACAAAGGAAGACAGACGCGGAGATGCAGGCCCGACTCGATGGCTCGTTCCAACTCCGAAGAGTGAATAGGAACGACGCCCACAGGAATAGGGTCGAAAGGGACGTGCGTCAACTCCGAATGACGCCGATACAAAATAACATAATGGAACGATGTCGAGACACAATACCGTCGGGATGGAAGGGTATCGACTGGAATAAATTAGATCTGAGGTGTTTCGAGCGTCGACTCGGAATCACCGCAGTTTAATCAAAGACAGGAATGGACGGAAACGAAGAGGCTCGGCTGGAGCATATCTAGAATCGCGCCGACACGGAATCACGTCGGCAATACTTGGAAAACGCTGGAGTGCTGTAGATCGAGTACCCTTGAGAAAGTAGCGAAAAAAGGCAGTGGTATTCGAGGAATCACATAGGTGGCTTCAGCCACAGATGGGAGTCACAGCCTCCTCAAATGACTCGGAAAGTGATTTTTGATTCCAGATCATTGCTGCCCCCTGATTGATAAATAGTAGCACGTTTAGAAGTGCCACCATGATCTGTCGGCCGTTGCAACGACCCCTCAGAGAAAGATGATCAGCTCGATCAGCGATCGACAGCACGATCCTTGCTCTGCTTATTTTTTTCTTTCGTTATGACCGAAGGCTTAGAGTTTTTTTTTTTTCCCGATTCCCACTTCTTAAAAAGGGGGGACTTGATGTCATCGTCACTCAATTCAGGGGAGTTTTTGAGTCGCCCATTTTTGAAAGGACGGCGTCATGGAACGTGTGACGCCATCGATGCCGCCACCGGCAGTTCTAAAAGGCGCGAAAACCCTCGACACGTCGGGGCTCGTCCAGCCGTTGACCCAGGATCGCGATGGAAAAATCCACCAATGAGAAGTCACCGGAGTCACGCAAACCTCGACACAACGTCGCGTGATTCCTTTGAGTCTGGCCCCAGTCGACGCAGGTTCGGCGAATGATTTACTCCGTGCTTGCCGAAGTTGGTGCCTAATCTCATCACGTTGCTACCCCTACCGAACGAGATAACGTAAACCTTCGTGCCATAAAAACGGTATTTATTCTCTTTCCGCGATCGAAACACGAGCTTCGGGAATAACAAGGCAACTTCTTTCGCGATGGCCTGCAACGTCTTTAGCTTCTCTCCATCGATGTAGCGAAGACTTCCTGTCTCTTGCCTCGGCTCGATCGAAAGCCTAGAGATTCTTCGTGCGAGCCGATTCAATTTTGGTCGTCGAAAACGAGTGGACGATGCATTACATTTGGATATCGGAGGATTTTCGGGCGTATCAGATTCCGCAATAGTTATGTATTATTGCGTCGATGATTTCATCAGATCGGACGTACTCTTATGAGATCCGCCGTAGGTGCATCCCCTACCCTTCCATTCCCCGTTCCATTTATGAAATGGCCAAAATGGCTTTCAAAAATCTACTTTAAAAAATCGAAAACGATCATCGTATTGCTAATTTCAGAATTTGATGCATATTTACGAGCATGGCTGATGAAGGGGAAGCACATCGGTATGTGCCGCATCGATCTCATCCTTCACGACGAACCAAAATTATAGATACTATTATTACATTTAGGAAACCCTGACCAAGGGGTCATCCACGACTGGGAAAGAGAAGAAAAGAGGGAATGCCGAGCCCCATTCTCAGCAGGGCTACGCACGGCCCCTTCCTCGTCTCATCGAATTCGCGTCCAAGCGAGAAGGGAAACGAGACAGGGTCATGGGGAATGAATCTGTCACCACCACCTTCAATGTGCGAGACTCACCACCACCTTCAATGTGCGAGACTCACCGCCACCTTCAATGTGCGAGACGGGAGCCAAGGATTACTGGGTGGAGAGGGATCTGGCCGGGCGAGTACCTCCACTTGCCTCCACCGCTCACATTTTTTTATTGTCGGGTTTGAGGGCTCAAAGAAAGGGGGAGGAGGGGGATGTGCGAATAGACGCTGCTTTGAGACGCCTAGAATGCGTTAAATGAGTTGGACCCATGCCAGGGAAGGAGTCTGTGCCCCGTGTCAAAGTACGCGAACGGAACGCGGTGACTAGTGTCCTTCGTCGTTCCTTCGTTCGAAGGACGATCGGGAACGTCTTCTCATTTTTCTTCACGATGCGAGACTTTAAATCTTTCGGGCCGAGTTCTGAGGCTAAGGGCATATCATCGTCCATTGCATCTACTAAACTCTCCGAGAGTCGAACTCTTGAAAGCCGAAGAGTGCCATCGGCCGTCTCGACTGCACGCAACATGCAGGGATCGCCATTGACCCGATGGATCCACGATACTAGATGTGCAGGTGTGCACGCAGGGGGGACCTCTTCCGTGAGCCTTTAGCGGTGCTTCGTGCGACATCTGTGCGGCGTCGAGAGAACCCGGTTCCACGCGTCGTGGAATTTCATCGGTGCAGAATGACCCCGATGGCAAGAAAATCGATAAATGGGCTCGAAAAGAAGTGCATCGACTTGGAGCGATATCGACTCGGAGTCGTACCCACGAACTTCTTAGAGAAACTTCGCCTGCGGAGAAAGATGGACGCAGAATCGATCCAAAGGAGAATCCCTGAATTTGTGTCGACACGGAAGATGTCGGCAGGAAAAGTGCCAACAGAGGTAAGGAGAGTTTCTTCGTCGGCGCCGAGTCGATATTTTTCAGAAATCGAGATACAGTAATTCTCGGTCGCCGCTATTCTTGTCGACTCGAAGGAATGAAGACTCCGGGACGAATATATACGAGGGACGGTAATGGAAAACAGCAATTAATTTCTATTAGCCACGCTGGCCGCGTTCATCGACGTCACTCTCCACGAACATCGAGTCGCTCGTTCCACCGCTCGACCCGATTATTTTTCGGCGCCGTCTCGGACCGACATCGGCCTGCGATGGCATCGTGTCCTCGCTGCC